ACGTTACTCCCACCGACGCAGCCCCAAACAGTTTCTTTCGAAACTATCAGCCTTTATTATTGTATACGATAGCTGAAATGGTAGGAAGGGGTGTAGCTACCGTAAGCCGCATTGTGCATGACGTATCTGAAGTTCTGGTCATGTATCCGCGATGAATTTAAGGCAAAAATGTTGGACATTGATGAATTTTGGCAGTTTCCGTGCTGTTGGGCAGCATTAGATTGCTGCCACATCCCAGTGAAATGCCCACCTGTAGGTTTGGAAGCCTGCAAGGAGTATCACAATTTTAAAAACTTTTATTCCATTGTTTTGATGGGCATGGTGGACTCACACTACCGGTTTGTTTGGGCTAGCTGTGGGTATTCTGGCAATTCCCATGATAAAATAATTTTCAAATCAACACATATATGGCGGGCAATCCAGGATGATGAATTTTAAATACCCAATATTGCAAAGTCAGTTGATGGGATAGACGTCCCACCACTTATTTTGGGTGATTCTGCCTGAGTGTCATTCTGCCTTCCCTCTCCAAACTTGGCTTATGAAACCCTACACCAATGTAGTACTTAGCCCTCAACAGAGATGCTTTAATTATAGATTAATTAGAGCTTGGATGGTTACAGAGGGGGCATATGGACAACTTAAAGGAAGGTGGAGGGTTCTTTTGCGAAAAAGTGAAAGTAGTCAAGTCCATATTTGCACAATTACACTTGCATGCGTTGTACTGCACAACATTTGTATCACTCAGGGAGATTCCATTTTCAGGAAACTTGATTTTTCCATTACATCACAGGACCGAGAAATGAGAAATAGGGAAGAAATTAGAAAAATATTACAGATGAGAGAGGGAAGACCGATCAATGACACAGCAAGTGAGGCAGCAAATGTTCGAAATGTACTTTGTCACAAATTATGGCTTGAAAAAGAAACTGGTCAAGTATCCTGACAATGTTGTAAACAGTGACCGAGGAACTGCTTGTATTTGCTGGAGTTATGTTTTTGTTATGTGTTTTACACTCAAAAGGTCTACCTCACCGTAAACAAATGATGCCACATTGCAAAACCTCTATGTAGCAGAATTATCAAAATTAAACATCCCTGAAAAAAGCACAATTTTTAACAAACAGAACATTAACTTTGAAATACAAAATGAAAATATCAATTTGCTGCAATGTCTACCATATCTTACGAGTACATGCATATGTCGCGTATAATTTTCTGGTCATCTGCATCACAGCTGTGAATGACTTCTATTTTGATGCAAGATAATGATAAACAGAAAGTCAATTGCTTTTTCAAAACCTCCATAATTTGCGTAGTTTATAGTTAAATATTACTTCAATATAAAACTTACATGGTGCCTATTGATTCATCTTGAGTGATAACTTCTTAAAACAATAAATGGAAACCAAATTTTATAAAATTATATTTTCTCTTATAAATCACTTGAACTTAATTTCTCATATTCACTTATATTTTTTCCTGTTTAACCTTTGAAGACCTAAATATGACAAATTACTAATGTGAGAAATCCTCCCAACTAAATCCTACATT